AGATAAGACTCCCTGGATGGAGACCCCACGCATGACGTGCTCCGAAAACTAGACCGGAAAGGGCAGAAAGGTCAATAACGGGGTGCTGTTAGAAATTTTGGTGAGAAGGAAAGTATACATCAATACAAATCCGAGAAAGGACCAAATGGAACCACAGTATTCTACAGCGGGAACTTTTTGGACTACAGGTTGACTAAAAAAGGTACGCACAGTGGAGCGCGAAGAGGTTTCAGCGACGCGACCCATGGTAAGGTCATTCAGTACGGACAAACAAATAAAACCACCACAATAAATGAAAAAATAACTTAAACGATCAGCTAAAGAAACAGATCAAATACCAACCTCTCATTTCGGAACGCATCGAAACATTTGTGAAAGAGGAGCAAACCATCCGCTTTCAAGAAGCGCTCGCAGTTTACTGGTGTCTCGTCTGAACAGAGAACCTCAGAGAAATTTAAAAAAAATGTGTAAAGTAGAAAGAACAAACAAAAAGAATACTTATGCAAGAACGACCTGTAATATTCCATAAGAAGCTCCACCCAACTTCCATGACGTCATCACACATATTCGTCGCCAGTTTCCTACGGATTTGATCGAGAATCATCTGCAAATTTCAAAGCGATTCAGGATGGTTAGGACCAATAATTTTTGATAATATTGATTTCTAATTAATTGGGAAGAAAAGCTCATACAGTCTTGTTCTTTGCAGATGTCGGGGCGTGTCCGAGGGGGAGGGGCGGGACTGGCTTTGGCTTCGTCCCAGCCCGTTTTCCACCAATTGTGGTCGCTTATCAGCTTTTACAATCTGTAGAAAGCGGGCTGGCACACAGCCAGAGCCACGCCCCAGCATCCTTAGCGAATAAAACTGTAATACATATGCGGGAAAAATTCCCGAACACGAAAATCGGATGCCAGCACGGACTGGGTTCTTTGTATCGAGCGCAACATCACCATAATCTCTACTCGAACCGAATCGTGAGCTCACCTCGATAGCACCGAAACTGCCGACTTGAACCTTCTGATCGCCTTCTACATGACATGCCATCGAA